ATTGTATCATATCCAAGAAATTATTGTCAAACCTGATAATTTGAAGCTTTCCTTTTTTATTCTAAGATTTTTATTGTTCTAAGTTCAATATTTAGTTCTTTCAACTTTAAGTTAATTTTTATATATATGGTGTTAAGTAAACTCCTAATTTCATTCTTTTGCAAGTGAATACAGGACAGCATCATTGTTGAAAGGACTGTCTCCCTCCTGTTAAGTGGTCTTGCACTCTTGTCAAAAATTACTTGACCATTACTGACTATATAGTCAGCGGTTTATTTCAGAGTTATTTTATTTTATTGATTTCTATACCTATTTTAATGTCTGTTTTGATGACTATAGCTTTGTAGTAAGTTTTGAAATCAGGATGTGGGAGTCTTCTAGTTTTGTTCATTTTTGTCATTGTTTGGCTATCCAAGGTCACTTGAGAGTGCTCCAACAATAATTTGTTTAAACTTTGTACACAGTGCACCTTGCTCTTAGGTTGTAAAATTCTGTAAGTTTTGAAAATGCATTGCATCACACGTCTACTATCATAGTATCATACAGAACATGCAGTTGTCTTATAAAACTCATGTTTTACTTCTTAGACAGGCTTCCATTCTTAAGCAATGAGAACTTACCGATGTTTTCTGTTGCTATAATTTTGACATTTTAAAACTTCCATAAATGAAAATCCATCAATGCATAGCCATTTTAGACTATTTGCTTTTTTAAAATATAAATTCAAGATTCATCCATGACTTTATATTTTCTGTCTTTGGTCATGACATTCGTATCTGAAAATGGAGTACAGTTTTATGTTCTAAATTTTATTACCCATCACCTCATAGATATTAATTTTATATATATTTTTGTCAAGCCCTCTGGTCACACAGAAGTCTTTTCTGCTCTCCCCGGGCAGCACTCAGTTATTTTCTTCACTTCATGAGCAATTTAATTTTCTGCCCCCACCTGTAATGCTACTCAACAAACACCAAAGGACCATTTAATTTCATGTTCCACGCAAACATCTTTCTAGCCTTGACCTTCGAAATACCTGTCTTAGTTTTTTTTAGGTTAAGATTCCTCTCTCCTAACATCATTTCACCTCTCTCTGTATAATCTTTAAGGTGTGACCTTTATGTCAGTACTCTGCAACAATGCTATGCCTCTTCCCTAGCAGCTATGTAATAAACACTCAACAAGTGGATAAATGAATGATTTGATATAATAAAAGAGCCAGATGGCAACAAACAAATGTAACCTCAGATGCCAACTATACCCCACCCACTTGGATATATAATAAACCATTTAAAAATATACTTGAAGGCCTCTTGTAAAAAAAAAAAAGAGTCCTGAAATCTGAGATACATTCAATTTATGTAGAACACATGGTGTTTATATAGCATTACCAAATAATACTACGCTAGTGAACCTTGATAATGTATGTCAGAGGTTCTCAGCATTAGCCCAGAACATCAGCATTACTATAAACATCTGAAATATATAACATTCATTTTCTCATAAAAATGTTTTATGGCTGGGTTTGAGGAGTTGGCTTGTCATGCTAGAATCGTTATCATCTATATTATTAGTAAAAGGAGTTTTATGACTATTTATGAAGTAATTTGCTTAAAATATTTAATATTAATATAAAATTTAAGTAATGTCCTCCCAAGCAAAAATACTTGAGAGAATTCCCATTGTACCTACCTAAGTCCGAAGATATGGGTCAGTCTGTGGATTCCTCTTGCAAACCTGCATTACTTGAGTACCTGGTACCTTTGCACTGTGAACGCCAGTCTCTAGGCAGGTCCCTGATTGCAATGTGAATAAATGTGAAATTTCCACAGCAGCAGTAGAGGGAGCTCTAAAAGTTCTCTTCCTCCTCCTCCTCCTGTTCTTTTGCATCATACTCTTGGCTCCTCATCTTCCTTAGAGTATTTTTCACTCTTTTGGGCTGTAGAGAAGGTTGTGTTCCAGAAAAGCATAATTTCTCCTCATCTAAATCTTGCATTTTTGCAATCATTTTTCACCTGCCCCATGGTCTGTGTCAGAAGCGAGATATTAAAGAACTGGTTGACCTTGGAGTCAGAAACTCTTTATTTTAGGTATTTATCCCTTGCTGGGAGTATTGTCTAAAAGTGTAAACCTGTGTACGAGTGTAATATTACGAAACTATATCAAGGGGTGGTATTTTAAAAAGGATGCTCCACTGTCTCTCATTTTTGTCGCACTGTGCTTTCCCACATTTTCAACACTTGAAATGAGAGAACTCTTTTATAGCTTTCACTTTTTATAGCTTGTATTTTTTCCAGGCCTCCCTATTGGTAAATTTTATGTTGTCAAAGTGACAAAGAAACTGCTACTAGAAGTTAAGGATGTAGGGAGCAGTAGTTGGTGAAACTTCAGTTTCATTAGGCGTGGTAAGTCATCACCCCTCAGAGTGGGAATGAAAAGGAATGAGAAATAGAAGGTCTCTACAAGGCCTTCCCAAAACTTTACTTCTCCAAATAATGATGATTACTTCAAAGAAAAACATTCCATGTACAGTGTACATGAAATTTTATATGTGCAAACGGTTTTCACAGTTCTAAAGATGGACTGCTTGTATGCTACCTTTAGATAAGTGAAAAACAACTCTCTGATGTGTGTTCTACCCCGATAATCTGCTAATTTCATCCTCAGGCCCATAACAGTCAATATCATAAGTTGCAATGTATTTAACAATAAAGAAATACTTACGAATAATTGGTTTATTGTTTTTTTCTTAGCTGACTGTGGCTTCAGAATGAAAACCGATAGACTGAACCAAGAGTTGCCAGAAAGACCCTATGTTCCATTTGTAACCATATACAGTATTTGGATGCTTGGTTATTCCCTTCAGATCATTTCTTTGAAAAATTGACACATAGTTTCTGAAAACATTTTTGAATCAGAACTTGGAATTTTTGCCTTCTCCCTCACCTTCTCACTGTTCTTCTCCACCTCTTCTTCCTTTATTTTTCCTTTGTTGCTGTTTTGTGTTTTTTGAGTTAGGGTCTCACTATACACTTCAGGCTAGCCTCAAACTCACAGCAATCCCTGCCTCAGCCTCATGAGTGCTGGGATTATGGGCACGAGCCCATTATTGTTGGCAGTAACAGACTGATTCCTACATTGACAATCCATGCTCTTTATAAAATTACGTATTGAGCAAAAGATGGCTGCTGAGCTACAAACTGTGTACATTTCTTTCTACACTGCTAAATTCTAAAGTTTTCCAGACCTGGAAAATGTGATGTGGTCTTTCTACATTTTCAAAATTGATGAGTTGGTACTCCAGACTCAATAAATGGGTAAAATACTTCATGATATCCCTACTGCATCATATATGTTGCCCATTTTACAGGTTTCACAAGTTTTTATATGTTATTTTACATTCTTTTTATCATAGCTTTACTAGATAAATGGGGAAGACCGTACTCACGGAATTTATGGATGATAGCGAGTATTTTTTAAGTCACAAATCTAGGATTTAGTGGAGACAAGATCACATTTAGGTTTCACATTTAGCTCACACCTTTGTGTGTGTGTGTGTGTGTGTGTGTGTGTGTGTTGGGGGATCCTGGAAACTGAACCCAACAAAGACCTTGCACATGCTGAGCATTCATGCTAGAGCTAAGCCACATCCCACACCATTTTTATTTTGTCTTGAGACAGGGTCTCACTGGTCTCACAGGCTGGCCTCAAACTTACGATGCTCTTGCCTCAAGCTTCTGACTAGCTAGGATTACATGCATGGGCCAACATGTCTGGCTGAAACTCCAGTATAAATCTAGAGAATTATTGCTTTTGGCCAAGGGCACTGGAATATGATCACAATATAAAAATGATGTATTTTGCAATTTATACTCTCGTGGTACCAAGCAGCATTTTATACTTCTCATTTTTATCACTGTAACCTTTTGATAGAAGGAAACCTCACTGCTATTCTTTCCCCTGATTTCTGTAGTAGTTAATCTCATTTTCTAACAAGAATTTTAAGAACTGACCTAAATATTATAATTAGTACATAATTAACACATGACCTTCTTTTTTGTTTTTTTCCTTTTCCAATGTGGATACTCATAGATGTGATTTAATTTACTTTCCAAACAGCAAGCTTTACTCTTTGTGGTATTTAGGACTGCATTTACACACTTGTAATTCTGAATTGGGTCATTCAAGTGGTTTTTCCAGCAACGGACACTTACCATCACAGTGCCGAGGATGACAGTTTTGGTTCTTTTGGCCATCTTTTGCAGCAGAGCCTAATGCATTTTCTGCTCAAATGTGATGCTTTCATCTGGTCATGAAGTAGTTTTACTATGCAGGGTGATGTTGGAGTAGTAAGAAAATGTTTTTAAAAAAATTACTTTTGTATTGATTTTTAGGATTCTTGAGACACGCTCCTTTCTCTGATTTCCCCATAGTACTGAGTATCTTCTTACTGAATATTAGCCGGGTAGAGCTGCACGACCAACTATCTGTTCAAATAGTATGTTCCTAGTTTTTAGAACTTTGAGAAAAGCTTTAAAAATTTCTTTTTTTCTCAGTGCATTTGAGGTTTTAAGTGTATTGAGCATCAAATAGTGAATCATATATTTTATACTTTTTAAACTACCGATATGGCAATGCAGATTGGTTTTTATAAAATACCTACATGTTAACTGATTTGAGTATATTCTCTGCCCACAACTGCTTTTAAATAAGTAGGATTAGGAAAGGAGTGGGGGGGGGGAAGTCAACATTCAAGGTAAAAAATTAATTTTAATTAATGTGAGCCCATAGAGTCCTGTAATATTTGAAAAGTTTGGAAACCTAGTAATGTTCTTAAGAAAACCTAACATATTCACTATATAAAATTTAAGAAAACCATTTTACATTCGTTTTCTATATTTTGTAAACCGACGATGACAGTGTGTCAGATAGTAGTTCCTCTAGTAACCTTGAAAACGTTCACTTGAAAGTATCATTTGACTTTTCTTTTGTCCCCATAGGTGGCCATGTTTGTGCTCCAACTGGGCAGTGCCACGTTCCTGCTTACGGAGCCTGTGATCAGTGCGATGACCACTGGGGCTGCCACCCACGTGGTGACTTCACAAGTCAAATATCTCTTGGGAATAAAAATACCATATATATCTGGACCGCTTGGATTTTTTTACGTGAGTTTTCCAAGTGACTTTGTTCTTAGATTTTGAGTGTATTTTTCACAAGTACAATTTAATTATAATAGTGATGTTTTTCTATATTACAACAGCTTGAGATTACGAGAGTATTATAAATATGATATAGAGTGTGAAACTAGTTGAAAGAGTGATATCTATTAACTTTAGAAATGATCTTCATTGTAATCTACTGTTCTCATTCCTGTTATTGAGTTGGTTTCTGGTATTTCTCTACTATATATGGCCTTTTGAGGAGTCTATTCATTTGTACGTTATTGTCTGCATTGCTGATTATTTTATTTGGATAGATTTCTAGTAATAGAATTATCAGATCTAATGGGTATAGTACTTTTTCAAAATTTCAATAATGTAATATAACAATTAATATAATATATTATTAATTATATTAATGTACTTTACTCTGGCCTTATCATTGTCAACCCTGGACACTACTATTTAAAGAAATTGAGTGCTTGATATGTGAAAAAATGGTATCCACTGTTAAGCAACTGTTTCTGATTAGGGAATTAAATAGTTAATAAAAATAGTAATTGGCTACATGGAACTGGAAACCAGTTCTGAATTTTGTTCCTTAGGTAATATCCGGCTCAGTGATTCATTCATTGTAAGAAAGTTTAAAACCAAAACAAGAAAACTGGAACTGGGCCTGGAAGCAACATAATCCCAAGCTTCAGCTCAAACAAAAGCAGAACAGAGTAGCTGTAAGCTGTCAGATGACTGGCTAAAGTTAAGGCTTTCCGTGACACCAGGTCTATAGGACAGAACAAAATCGGTTAAAATTGTGGCTTAATTTCCTGCCTGGAACAGTGTGTTTATCTGTGTATGTTCAAAGTAAAAAAATTCCTGTGGGTTACAACTTGGCCTGTTTATTCAGATACAGATAATCATCTTTCTTCTGCAAGTCGTGTAAAAGAAGCAGGATAGCCTAATGCAGAAATGGCATTGGCTTTTCAGCTTGGTTCTGTGGTGGCATTTACTAAGAGTAGTATGTGGAAACTTTCTTCCATTTTGTTTTCCTGTGAGATAAATTGCAAGCTACCTTATCTTGATTTTTTAGGTCAAGCATTATAGAACTTTAGAGATCTTTTGTAGTATCTCACACTGAAACACAATCAGATTTTGTAATAATTTTAGACAATTGACTTTACATACACATGACCTAGTTAGTGGGATCATTATGATTGGAAATGAATTCAAGTTGCTTTTGCTTTTCAATGTTATAGACTCCTGGGGGTTAGGAACAATGCTTCATACTTTGCCAGGGTATTTAGACGTGCTGATATGGCAGTGTCGAAAATGGTGGTGATCTGATCATGGGTTACACTAAGATATTTCAAAAATGAGTTTTGGAATAATTCAGCTGAGAATCTGGTGATGACAATGTAAATTTGAAATTAATCTTGAATCATTAAGTGCCTGAAGATGAATGGGTGAGCTCAGCATGAATATACAGGGCAGAGGACAACATAGAAGTCTTGACCATCAAGTTAAAGAATCTAGAGGAAGCTGGGCATGGGTGATGCATGTCTGTAATCCCAGCACTTAGGAGACTGAGGCAGGAGGTTCGCATGAGGTCAAGGCTAGCCTGGGCTACAAAGTAAGTTTAAGGCCAGCCTGAACTATGTAGAGATACCCTGCCTAAAAAAACAAAAAACAAACAAACAAAAAACTCTAGAAGAAAGTGAATTAATGTTTTTGAGAATTTTCACTTTTTGACTCTTCTTCCTGCTTCTGTGTTTTCACAACTAGTATAACCTGTTTGAAAACTTCTCAGGCTGAGGAGAGATGAAGAATATATCATTGACATCTCTTGGAACATAAATTGATATCTAGAATACTAAAGGCCTTTGACTATGGCTCACTTACAAATCTTAAGTCTCACATAGAATGCTTTTTTATCAAAAGAAGTCAAATTTGGCAGACCAATAAGTTCAGTAATTAGTTCTGGTAATACCAGTTGTTCCTGTCCACTTTGAGAAAAGCAATCCTGCCTTTATTCCTCTCCTGGTGAGAATTTGCAGTTGGGCATCTCTCCTTTCTGCTACCATGATGTCTTCTGCAGCACCTTCTAGGTGGGCCATGCCTGATTCTATTCTATGAAGAGAATTCAGTTCCCTAGTTTGAACAGTGAAGTTTCCATCCATGTGGTTACTTTGGGCTAGTAGGTTTTCTACCCAGTGGGACCCTTTTAGAGAAGGACTTTAATCATATTTGGATGTGCCACAGTGTCAGCTCTCCCCACTTACAGAGGCACAGAATGCTACAGTTTGATCTTGAATGTCCCTCAAAGGCCCGCATGGTAAAGATGTGATGCCTGGCTCATGATACTTTTAAGAGAAGGTGAAGCCTTTAAAAATGTGGTACCTAGTGATAGGGTACAAACTTGAGAGGGATTAGAGAACTTCAGTCTTTTTATCTTTTTTGCTTTCTGGCTGTGAGGTGGACAACTTTATTTTGCCAGGTGCTGCCTTGCCACAGACCCATAAGCAAAAGGGCCAACTGACTCAGACCTCTCAAATTGTAAACCAAAGGCAATCTCTCTTTGCAAGCTGAGCATCTCAGGCATTTGTCACAACAGAACGCTGGCTACCACAAGCTCACACAGCAAACTCTACTAAGCTTCCCTGGTTAGGCAACTCCTTTTCTTCTGGCTAAAGTTGTTAAGCAGTTTCTTCAAGTGAAGGGACCTTCCGGAGTGTGAAACCCTACTAAGATTTCCCCCTGGTACTGAGTGCCCATGCAGGATTATGATCCTCCACATAAACAAAGGAAGTCTCTGGAGTGACTGTCATGATTCTCCTAAATCCCTAAAAACAGAGACTATAATAAGGTTTAACCACTTATTTAATCTTCTTTATTTCCTTCATTCATAAGTCTACATTCCCTTTGTTTTGCAAAGTTTTTAATAAATTCATTTACTTCTAATACCATTTTCTTTTAATCTATGGTTATTTTTAGTGAATTTTATATATATTTTATCACAGTTTTTTCAGTTATATTTGGTGGAAATATTTTTCTCCAAGTGCAGTTTTAGCTGTGGTGATTTTATTAGTGTCTGCACAATTGGACACTAGTTGATCAGTCTATTTGTTTCCTAGCAAGGAGCAATGGAACAAAGACATCTGAATCAGAGAAGTTCAGATTTAGATCAGAGCTGCAGCCATGACCTGAGCAGATGACCTAGTGTTTTTAATTTCCAGTCGCCTATTTTGTAAATTGATGATAATTACATTAGAAGGAGTTCACTCTGAAATGAAATGCCTGGAACCCAAGTGTTCATTAAGAGGAAGCCATTATTTTTCTTCCTAGTAATGAATAGCTGGACAAAACAAATTATAGATTTTTAAAAGTACCTCTTAAATAATAAATACCACAGTTGACCAGGGATATAGCTCAGCGGCACAAGCTCTTGCCTGGCAAGTACAAGGTCATGAGTTCGATCTCATCAAAAAAACAAAAATCAAGAACAAAAACAAAAACAAAAGATTCCCTTTGTTGTCTTATATAGTAAATTTTTTGCCAGGTCTGGTGGCAGTCGCCTGTAATCCCAACACTCAGGAGACTGAGGCAGGAGGATCATTGCAAGTTTGAGACCAGCCTGGGCTACAAAGTGAGCTCAAGGCCAGCCTGAACTGCATGGTGAGACCCTGGTCTCAAAAAGACAGAAATTAAATAAATAAATATCACAGTTTTCCTCTATCAAGGATGCTTAATGAATTTAAAAAAATGAATAATAAAATAATGTTATATGTGTCTTTGCGCCTTGAAAATCAAGGTAATAAAAATAAAAATTTCTTCTCTTAGTGAAGGAATTGAATCGCTTATCAGAACTGAAGAAGTGGTTCTTTATTTTTATTTACAGATACTTCCATCAATTCAGCAAAAATTCCTTGAGCAATTATAATCACATTCAATAAATTGCAAATAATGCCATAATATGTTTAAAAATAAGCGGGAAAAATAGTACTGCCGGGGCCACTCTGTCTTGGAATACTGGCCCAGCAGTTAAATGGTTCTATTCTTGTCATCCTTCAGATTCAAATGATTCATTGAGAGCCTGGTTCCCCACATAGAGCAGAGTGAAACTTTTAATTCTTTAGAATTGAGAAACATTTTAAAAATCAAGAAATAAAGCGTGTTTTTGTTAGACAAAAAGGCACAATAAAAATTACAAAAATTCCTGTTCCACATGCTAATACATGTGGATCTCTGAAATGGAGAGCCGTTAGCAGTCCATAATAAACCTGACAAAGCTAGTTTCACTGGCATGGCTTTATATAAATGTTGTTCTAAGAATCATGCACAGTTCCATGCGTTAAACCCAAGAGCAAAAGGTAAGTTTGGCAATATATTCAACCGCCCTTTTTGGAAATTTTTATTTCCTTGTCTTAATATGGTGAGTTTCAGACTAGAAGACATTTCATTTCCACCTAAAACTCTTAAGTATGAGCAAAGTGCTGGTCTAGTTTGGACTGAAAATTCTGTGAAGCAGAAACCAAGAAGGTTAATAAAGTGGGACTGAAACGACAGAAGGAAATCAGAGCTGATGAAATAAGTTCTTTTATAGAGAATGAGATCACAATTAAATACACACAAGTGAAGTTTATATGTGTAGAACAAATCTTCTTTGAAGACATAGGCCCTCTGGGATTTCTGAATCAAGAGCACGCTTTGGTGGTTTACGAAAGCTTGTCTTTTCTCTGCAGATATTGTGACTTTTCCATTCTGACTTGCAGGGCTGTTGGATATACCTTAAAAAATGGAGGGAATACATCAAACGGGGGAGAGAAATGGAATGTTTATCTGCAGATTGATTCAATCAGTGGTGCAGGGAATAAAAATGTAGCAGGTTTAATTTGAATATGGAACAATCATATGGAAATTTCTAACAAAGATTACTTTCAAATTCTAAATCAGACGGCAAATATGTTTGCCACTCAACCATCTTGGACGAAGTTCTTTCCATCCCCCCACAG